CTGTTTGCTTACAAAAATAGGATCATATTACACACATTTCTCTGTATTTTACTTTTCTCACTCAACAATATCTCATGAAAAATCCCTCAGAGTCTTGGTATATCTCAAATTGTTTTTCTTCTTTTATTATTTATTATTTTTATTTATTTATTTTTTTAAATGAATTTATTCATTTATTTAATTTTTGGCTGCATTGGGTCTTTGCTGCTGCACGCGGGTTTTCTCTAGTTGTGGCGAGCGGGGGCTACTCTGTTGCAGTGCGGATTCTTAACGACTGCGCCACCAGGGAAGCCCTCTTTTTTTTTAAAAAAATTGAGGTATAGTTGATTTACAGTATTAGTTTCAGGTGTACAACATAGTGATTCAAGTTTTTTATAGATTATACTCCGTTTAAAGTTCTATAAAATATTGGCCATATTCCCTGTGCTGTACAATATTTCCTTGTAGCTTATTTATTTTACACGTAGTAGTTTGTACCTCTTAATCCCCTATGCCTATCTTGCCCTCCCCACTTCCCTCTCCCCATAGGTAACCACTAGTTTGTTCTCTGTATCTGTGAGTCTGTTTCTGTTCTGTTATATTCATTCATTTGTTTTATCTTTTAGATTCCATGTATAAGTGATAATAGATAGTTTGTCTTTCTCAAATTGACATTTCACTAAGCATAATACCTTCCAGATCCATCCATGTTGTTGCAAATGGCAAAATTTCATTCTTTTTAATGGCTGAGTAGTAGTCCATTATGTATGTATACCACATCTTCTTTATCCATTCCTCTGTTGATGGACACTTAGGTTGCTTCCATATCTTGGCTATTGTAAATAATATTGCTGTGAACATTGGGGTGCATGTATCTTTTCAAATTTGTGTTTTTGTTTTCCTTGAATATATACCCAGAAGTGGAATTGTTAGATCATATCGTAGTTCTATTTTCAGGTTTTTGAGGAACCTCCATACTGTTCTCCCTAGTGGCTGCACCAATTAACATTCCTACCAACAGTGTACAAATGTTCCCTTCTCTCCACATCCTCACTAACATTTGTTATTTGTGGTCTTTTTGATGATAGCCATTCTGACAGTTGTGAGGTGATATCTCATTGTGGTTTTGATTTGCTTTTCTTTTTTTTAAAAAAAAAAAATTATTTATTTATTTTTGGCTGTGTAGGGTCCTTGTTACTGCACGTGGGCTTTCTTTTAGTTGCGGTTTTCTTCTAGGAGTTGCTGCACATGGGCTTTCTTTTAGTTAGGCTTTCTTTTAGTTGGGGGCTACTCTTTGTTGTGGTGTGTGGGCTTCTTATTGCGGTGGCTTCTCTTGTTGCGGAACATGGGTTCTAGGCACGCGGGCTTCAGTAGTTGTGGCGCATGGTCTCAGTAGTTGTGGCTCATGGACTCTAGAGCGCAGGGTCAATAGTTGTGGCACACGGGCTTAGCTGCTCTGCGGCATGTGGGATCTTCCTGGACCAGGGCTCAAACCCGTGTCCCCTGCATTGGCAGGTGGATTCTTAACCACTGCGCCACCAGGGAAGCCCCATGATTTGCTTTTCTGATGATTAATGATATTGAGCATCTTTTCATGTGCCTATTGGCCATCTGTACGTCTTCTTTGGAAAAATGTCTATCAAGTCTTCTGACCATTTCTTGACTGGGTTGTTTGTTTTTTTGATATTAAGTTGTATGAACTGTTTATATATTTTGGATATCATTTGCAAATATTTTCTCCCATTCAGTAAGCTGTCTTTTTGTTTTGTTTTGTTTTGTTTTAATTAATTAATTTATTTTTGGCTGCATTGGGTTTTTGTTGCTGTGCATAGGCTTTCTCTAGTTGTGACAAGCAGGGGCTACTCTTCGTTGCGGTTCACAGGCTTCTCATTGTGGTGGCTTCTCTTGTTGTGGAGCACGGGCTCTAGGCGCGCAGGCTTCAGTACTTGGGCTTGTGGGCTCTAGAGCACGGGCTCAGTTGTTGTGGTGCATGGGTTTAGTTGCTCCACGGCATGTAGGATCAAACCCATGTCTCCTGCATTGGCAGGTGGATTCTTAACCACTGTGCCACCAGGGAAGTCCCTGTCTTTTCGTTTTGTTGATTGTTTTGTTTGCTGTGCAAAAGCTTTTCAGTCTAATTAGATCACATTTGTTTATTTTTGCTTTTGTTTCTTTGCCTTAGGTGATGGATCCAAAAAAATATTGCTATGATTCCTGTCAAAGAGTGTTTTGCCTCTGTTTTCTCCTAGGAGTTTTAATGGTTTCTGTTCTTACATTTAGATCTTTAATCCATTTTGAGTTTATTTTTTTATATGGTATGAGAAAATGTTCTAATTTCATTCTGTTACATGTAGCTGTCCAGTTTTCCCAGCATCACTTATTGGAGGCGGTCTTTTCCCCATTGTATATTCTTGCCTCCTTTGTCATGATTAATTAACCATAAGTGCGTGAGTTTCTGGACCAGTACCATACTGTTTTGATCACTGTAGCTTAGTAGTATAGTCTGAAGTCAGGGAATGTGATGCTTCCTGTTTTGTTCTTCTTTCTCAAGATTGTTTTGTCTGTTCAAGGTCTTTTGTGTTCCCGTACAAATTTTGGGATTATTTGTTCTGGTTCTGTGAAAAATCCCATTGGTATTTTTTTTTAAATATTTATTTATTTATTTGGCTGCACTGGGTCTTAGTTGCAGCACACAGAATATTCATTGCCGCGTGTGGCGTCTTTGTTGCAGCATGCGGGATCTTTAGTTGTGGCATGTGGGATCTTTAGTTGTGGCATGCGGGATCTCGTTCCCTGACCAGGGATTAAATCTGGGCCCCCTGCATTGGGAGCACAGAGTCTTAACCACTGGACCACCAGGGAAGTCCCACCGTTGGTATTTTGTTAGGGATTGCATTGAATCTGTAGGTTGTCTTGGGTAGTATGGTCATTTTAATAATATTAATGGTTCAAATCCATAAACAAAGTGTATCTTTCTGTTTGTGTCTTCATTTTCTTTCATCAGTGTATTATAGTTTTCTGAGTACAAGTCTTTTAACTCCTTAATTAGATTTACTCCTAGGTATTTTATTTTTTTGGGTGTGATTGTAAATGGGATTGTTTCATTAATTTCTCTTTCTGGTAGTTTGTCATTAGTGTATAGAAATGCAACAGATTTCTGTATTAATTTTGTAGTGTGCAACTTTACTGAATTCATTGATGAGCTCTAGTAATTTTTTGGTGACATCTTTAGGATTTTCTATGTATAGAATCATGTCATCTGTAAACAGTGGCAGTTTTACTTCTTCCTTTCTAATTTGGATTCCTTTTATTTCTTTTTCTTATCCGATTGCTGTGGCTAAGACTTTGAGTACTACATTGAAAAAAGTCACAAAAGTGGGCATCCTTGATTTTTTTCCTGATCTTAGAGGAAAAGTTTTTAGCTTTTCACCTTTGAGTATGATGTTAGCTGTGGGCTTATCATATATGGCCTTTATTATGTTGATGTTCCCTCTATACCTACTTTGTGGAGAGTTTTTATCATAAATGCATGTTGAATTTTGTCAAAAGCTTTTTCTGTATCAAGATGATCATATAATTTTTATTCTTTGTTTTGTTAGTGTGGTGTATCACATTGATTGATTTGCAGATATTGAACCATCCTTGCATCCCTGGGATAAATCCCACTTGATCATGATGTATGATCCTTTTAATGTATTGTTGGATTCAGTTTGCTAATACTTTATTGAGGATTTTTTCATCTATGTTCATTAGTGATATTGGCCTGTAATTTTCTTTTTTTGTGGTATCTTTGGTTTTGGTATCAGGGTGATGCTGGCTTTGTAGAATGAGTTTGGAAACATTTCTTGCTCTGCAATTTTTTGGAATAATTTGGAAAAGATAAGTGTTAGCTCTTATCTAAATGTTTGGTAAAATTCACCTGTGAAGCCATCTGGTTCTGGACTTTTTTGTTGGGAGTTGTTTTATTACTGATTCATTTTCATTACTGGTAATTGGTCTGTTCATACTTTCTACTTATTCCTGATTTAATCTTGGGAGCTTATACATTTCTAGGAATATGTCCATTTCTTCTAGGTTGTCCATTTTATTGGTATATATTAAAAATAGCTTTATTGAGGGATAATTTACATAACATAAAATTTACTTATCTTAAGCTTACAGTTCACTGAGTTTTTGCTAATTTATACAGTTGTGTAACCATAATCATAATCCAGTTTAGAACACTCCATCATCCCAAAAAGTTCCCTTGGGTCTATTTGCAGTCAACCCTACTCCCAATCCCCAGCAGATCTGCCTTCTATCTGTATAGTTTTGCATTTTCTGGAAATTTCATATAAGTGGAATCTTGGAATATTTAGTCTTATTGTCTAGCTTTTTTCACTGAGCTCTTTTTCAAGGTTTGTCCATGTTGCAACATATGTCAGTAGTTCTTCTCTTTTTACTGCTGAGAAGTATTTCGTTGTCTGGATATATACTACATTTCGTTTATCCATTTACTAGTTAGTATAAGAAAGATGGCCTTTATTCCCTTTCTTCAAATAAAAGTTTTTATAGAATCTTAAAATCTTTCATATATTCTTTTTAAGACCAATGATAATAGAACTTCCTTGATTCTTGTGGAAGAGGGGAGTTCAGAGTGCTACCTTTTTAATCCTTTAGGTACCTCCTTAGAAACCTAGGAAGATAGTTGGAAAACCACCAATCTAAAGCATACTCTAGGAATTTCCTACCCTTTATTAAGGAAATATATGTATAAGTGCTATATTGAGAGGAAATAAAATGAAGAAAATCTTTGTGGTGTTAGGAAACTTTTTTTTTAAAAACACCAGAATGTGTAATAGATAAAATATATTTTCCAAGGGAATGATGATGTTGCCCATATGTAGAATTTGGCTTTTCTGCAAGGACTTTGGGGGAATGGGTTATGGTTCATGCCTACTCTGTGGAATGCTGCCTATTTTAGTGACTTATTTTTGCCTTTCTAGTTATTTATATATTTTGTTTGTTTGTCTTTCAATTAGGCAATTATTATAGTTTGCGTTCTCAGCATGAGAAAGCAGCCTTGTATTTCCAGAGAGCACTGAAATTGAATCCTCGGTATCTTGGTGCCTGGACGCTGATGGGACATGAGTACATGGAAATGAAGAACACATCTGCTGCTATTCAGGCTTATAGGTGAGCATTTAGTTGGAGGGGGAGATGGAGCAGATTGTTGTGATTTTAGGAGTCTCTATTGAGCCTGCAAGTCGCTAACTTTGACTCTGCTCTCTTACCAGTCTCTCTTCCATTTCTTAGGCATGCTATTGAGGTCAATAAGCGGGACTACAGAGCCTGGTATGGCCTTGGGCAGACCTATGAAATCCTTAAGATGCCATTTTATTGCCTTTATTATTATAGACGGGCCCACCAGCTTCGGTAAGTCGGGCCACTTGATGATGTGTTTGTTGTGGGAAGGGCTGACACTCTTCTTTCTCTTTTGATAGCTATTGAAGAATCACAGTGAATGGTTTTGACTCTTAGAGACCTGAGTTTAAACATGCCATATGTTGTTTGGTCATTTTTATGTAGTGTATTCTACTAACGTGTTAATTGTATAATTGTGAACACAAAATAATATAATTACATGAAGTATTGGATTAAAGCCCATTCCCTTCATAGCTTTGAAATAGTGGTGGTGGTTCCTCAAGGGAGGACTTCAGTTTTTGCTTGGATTTCCTATTTCTTTTCCCTCTCAGGCCCAATGATTCTCGTATGCTGGTCGCTTTAGGAGAATGTTATGAGAAACTCAATCAACTAGTGGAAGCCAAAAAGGTATCTGAAATTGGGTCCTGAAGAGTTTGTGTGGAAATCCGCTGTTTGGATGAGGGGTTGAGCTATCTGTGCTTAATTTTCCTTCATGTAGATCTATCTACATAGGGAAGTCTGAATATTTATAGGCACATAGGGTGTATAAAGCAAAGTTGGGCTGACATCATTAGTGGGAATGTTAGTATGTAGCCTGGACCTATCAGATCTAGTAAAAATGCTTTGTATTCTCCAAGTCTGAACTTCTGGGAGACTTGCAGGACCTGAGTCTCTATGTGATTAGTCATGGCACATGGGGCAGTGGTTGAAGTGACCGGTTTATTTATTTTTTTGACAGTGCTATTGGAGAGCTTACGCCGTGGGAGATGTGGAAAAGATGGCTCTGGTGAAACTGGCAAAGTGAGTGAAAGAGTGACACGCTAGTGATATTTCTGTTGGCTTCTCTGGTGAGGTGGGTCCTGCACATTCTAGAGCTTCCCATCCATCATCTACATGAATGAGGGGATGTAGCACAGTGTATGATTACTGATCTGGAAATTTAGCCATCTCGACTCAAAAGAATGCTACTTCTCTTTGAAGAGGAATTGTTTTCCTATTTGGAAAATTCAAGAATGAATTGAAAGAAATGAAATTTTTATGTCAGAGCAGTCTAGGAAAACTACTTTAGGTACTAATCTCCTCCTGATAAGGCCCAGGAAAATAAGGAATAACTCAGAAATGATAAGGAAAGAGGTTCTTAAATGCAATTTCATTCCTGCCAGTTCTTTTCTGGATTCTTACAAAACATGTGAATTGCTTGGTATCTTTTTTAATCTCACTCAGGGTATTACCAGGGAATTTTTGCAATGGTATATTATCCAGCTTAAGTGTTTACTAACTTTTCCTCCATCACCAGTAGCAGAGTAATGATTCTAAGCTTTGATGAAGTAACCACCACCTCTGGGCACTAATACTATTCTGGGTCCCACTGTGTCATTTATGTCAAAATTTGTACTTGTCTATGTATTATCATTTTTTTATCTTAACTGTGTGCTTTTACTTTTTATCACTAGCTTGCTTTGAGATATGATTTATACTTAAAGACCAATTTCTTTTGTAGGCTTCATGAACAGTTGACTGAGTCAGAACAGGCAGCCCAATGTTACATCAAATATATCCAAGATATCTATTCGTGTGGGGTATGTGTCATGAGCATGAGAATTGGGTCGCTGATCTTATTCTTGTCACCTCAGTCATTCCTGATTTCCTTATCTAGGAAATAGTGGAACACTTGGAGGAGAGCACTGCTTTCCGCTATCTGGCCCAGTATTATTTTAAGTGCAAGCTGTGGGATGAAGCTTCAGCTTGTGCCCAAAAGTGCTGTGCATTCAATGATGTGAGTATCGGTTCTTTAGTAAAAGGTTTGGATTTTAGGTTCTAGCACATGACTTTACTATGATCTGGGGGTGGAAAGTGGAAGGTGGTTAAGAGGGTGAGTGGTTTGCATTCAATCTGTAGATTGCTTTGGGTAGAATAGTCATTTTCACAATATTGATTCTTCCAATCCAAGAACATGGTCTATTTCTCCATCTGTTTAAGTCATCTTTGATTTCTTTCATCAGTGTTTAATAGTTTTCTGAGTACAAGTCTTTCACCTCCTTAGGCAGGTTTATTCCTAGGTATTTTATTCTTTTTGTGCGATGGCAAATGGGGTTGTTTCCTTAATTTCTCTGATTTTTCATTGTTGGTGTATTGGAATGCCAGAGATTTCTGTGCATTAATTTTGTATCCTGCAACCTTACCAAATTAATTGATTAGTTCTAGTAGTTTTCTGGGGGCATCTTTAGGATTTTCTATGTATAGTATCACGTCATCTGCAAACAGTGACAGTTTTACTTCTTCTCTTCCAATTTGTATTCCTTTTATTTCTTTTTCTTCTCTGATTGCCGTGGCTCAAGAGGGAGGGGATATGGGGACATATGTATGCATATGGCTGACTCACTTTGGTGTGCAATAGAAACTAACACAGTATTGTGAAGCAATTATACTCCAATAAAGATTAAAAAAAAATAAAACAGGGTGACTGGAAAGGCTACCTTGTTCTGTGGAACTTTGTATGTCAGTATTTTATTCTTTCTTTCTTTTTTTTTTTTTTTTTTGGTATGTCAGTATTTTAGAAACTGTTTTTGAGAAAAGCCTTGGACATATTTTGACACATTTGCCTGACTTTGTTTCAGACCCGGGAAGAAGGTAAGGCCTTGCTCCGGCAAATCCTACAGCTTCGGAACCAAGGCGAGACTCCCTCCACCGAGATGCCTGCTCCCTTTTTCCTCCCTGCTTCACTGTCTGCTAACAACACTCCCACACGCAGAGTTTCTCCACTCAACCTGTCTTCAGTCACACCATAGTTGGCTACTTTCAAGCCAGCACATTGCCAGACCCATATTAAGCCTTACCTCCATGTAAAGAACAGCCACGTCTATTCTTCCAAGGACCTTAGTTCTTTTTGTTTGTACACATGGAAACAGCTCCTTGGGGAGTTTATAGAATCACCTGCACAGTAGACTGACAGAAGAATCCTGGCAGGAACAGAGTCTGTCTTTGCCAGTTTGAAGCACTTCTATCTCCCTTCTGTTCAGAGTGGCTATAGATCTTGGCCTTTTTCCCCAGACCTTTTTGCCCCCCCAAAACATCCCTTCAACAGCACTTTAGCACAGGCAACGCTACAGGGACAAAGTTTAAATGCTGCTGGGAGTGGGAGATTTCTTTAGAGAGGCAAGGAAGAAAGAAGGGAGAAAAGCTTGCAACTCTACCCTCTGCTGATAGTAGGGCACTGGATACCCTAGGAAGGTCAGGGCACTGGATAGACATGATTCATCATTCTTTGATTTGCTGAGCATGACTATTCTGATATCAGAGATTAGGTTTAAATGGGGTGAAGGTATACTTTTGTTCTTACTGGGAAGACATTCTGCCGTTTTTTTTGTTTTTTTTTTTTGCGGGATGCAGGCCTCTCACTGCTGTGGCCTCTCCTGTTGTGGAGCACAGGCTCCAGACGCGCAGGCTCAGTGGCCATGGCTTACGGGCCCAGCCACTCTGCGGCATGCAGAATCTTCCCGGACCGGGGCACGAACCCGTGTCCCCTGCATCAGCAGGCGGACTTTCAACCACTGCGCCACCAGGGAAGCCCTGGCGTTTTGGTTTTGAGGCGTCTCCTAGAAGCTTTCAAATTGGAAGTAACTTACTAGAGTTGAACAAAAGAAGGGGCAAAAGGACTCTCACTGAGTGTGGAACTGCTGATGGCCCCTACTAAGGGGAAAAGATGTCTATAGAGTTAGCTATACACCTACTAAAGCACAGCAAGGAGGCAGGGTTACAGAGTTTCATGGACATTTGGGTGTGATAACTTCTGTGATTGTACAGATAAAAATAAACTCTTAGAGTCGGTCTGTTTTAATAAATATTTTGCCATAATTGTCTCCCCCCCACATGCCCCCCCATCTCCACAAGAATTTTTTTTTCTAGCCTTCATCTATTAGACAAGGTAAAAGTAATCATTCTTGCTATGCTCTTGGGAGAGTTTCAGGCCTGTGCTTGTGCATTCAGTAGGAGGTAATATGCCATGACTATAATAGCTGCTGTAATGAATTTGTACAGTAGATGCTATGGGTTATTCTGAGCTCAGGGCCCAGCCTTCCTTTATTTTTGTTCCAAAACAAGTTTGTTACCCATTCATCTCCTAATGTATGACACTTCATTTTATTTTATTTTTTTATGAATAACTTTTTTATTAACCTTTTAATCATTTAGTTAATTAACCTGTTTTTGTTTTTTGGTTTTTTTAACATCTTTATTGGTGACACTTCATTTTATATTAAGGAAGGTTTAGAATATCTAATGTCCCTTGAATTAATTTCTTGCCAAGCTTTCTTGGGTTAGCTGTGCACCAGTTGCTGGTCTGCACTGCCATTCCTGTGCAAAGTTCCCAGGGGCCCGAATGATACTTGATTTTCAATTTTTCTGCCCCTTTTATAATTTACTTCAATGATTATGCTAAATTTAGAATTCAAATTTAAAATGTGAACAATATCTTTATTTTAATATAACTTTTGTGTGCATAGAAACCATATAAGTAAAAAAGTGTAAGAATACATAGGTGATTATATTACAAAAGGGAGAAAAACTAATGTCTGAATATTGCATTCTGGATAGAGTTCCAGGTATATATATAGTAAAGCTTTAAAGAAACCTATTTCTTAAGCTGAGCAGCTGACCCACCTCAGGGCAATGCTCTCTCCTCACAACCTTAGTATTTTTTGCCAAAAGGCCCAGATTTGAGTAAAGGGGAGCACCGTGAGCGCAGGATCCGGGCATAAGGGCTGTAGTCTGTTGAGCTTTGGCAGGTGGGTGTTCGGGGCAGTAAGTTACGAAGAAATGGTTTCTTCCCTGGGGGCTGTTGGTTTGGTTGCTGGTTTTCCTGGTTGGCACCGAGGCGCTTTTTGGTAGAAGCCTGGCCTTGGAGTTTCAGCACAGTATGATACTGCTCCGCGATGCATGCTGCCTTCTTCCGAAGGTCCAGTTTTACTAGCATCATGTTATTCTGCAGCTCAGCCAGGGTCTGATCCTAAGGAAGATCAACAAAGTTATAGAAAACATTTCTGTCTAATCTATTAGAGAAACAGGAGGGCAAGGTAATACACACTATCCACTACTAGTTACTAAAACTGCTTTTTACAAAGATTAACTCTTTATGGTCAGAGCTTTTAACTGAATAGGAGGGTATTTTCTTTAAGACCCAAACAAATAGCACTGAATAGAAGGCCGTTTTCTAACACATCAGGTGGTATGAGCTTGAATGATTTTACCTAACCTCCAAGAGCCTCAGTTCCTAGGTATCAAATTAGCCTAGGATGGTTTTTTTTTTTTTACATTTGAATACATCTGGAATCAGGATGCATTTACTGATGACAGTGTCATAGCTTAATTGTTAGTGTTTTGTCTTACAATTAATTGTTTCTTATAATCTAAGCATCTTGGATGAAATATGATAGTATCTACCTCTCTAGGGTTGTTATATAACAGAAAAAGCCTACAAATTACTTAACATAATGCCTTGTACTTAGTGAATGGTTATTTTGCAAGGAAGAGAAACTCCCCTCACTATAAGATTAGCCTAAAAATCTTTACCTTTCTCTTTCTCACGTATACTCTGAAGTGGGCTGATGGGAGAAAGTGGTATATAGGCTTCCCTAACCTGTTTGATTAAGATGTCATCACATGTGGCCAAGGCTTGGCGAAGTTTTCCTGCTCCAGTGCTGTGGCAACAGGCTCTTTCTGCTGACTGGAGAGACTCACCAAGTTTCTGAAGCTCTGTCCGCAGCAGCCTTATATTCTGAAAAAGGAGGAGTAGGAACCAAATTGTGGCCAAGATCAACCAGTGATCTGGAGGAGTCGGAGAACCATTTGAAGAGAAGTAAAACTAGAAAGACTAGTCATTTGAATGAGGTAGCCATTCTCTAGGACTGCAGAGAAAACATCTTGTCCTCATATGAACCAGGGATATAGTGTTGGAAATTGCCTTAGGTGAGAGCTTTGGTAACAGAGAAAGGTAATTACCTTCTGGCCCTCCTCTAACTTCTTGTCCACATCAACGATGAAGGGCTTGGCTGAGGGTGGTGGCTCTAACATTTTCTGATATTTCTGCAGCTCTGAGAGAAGGAAACAAAAACCTTACATGTGTAGGCTTTCTAGCCTTGGACTTATCTCTTTAACTGAATTAACAGTAGCTTGCAGCAAACATAACAAGTGATGCTGTGTGCATCCTAGGATGAAAGGTCAGGGGGATGTAGCTTGGAGTTAAGGAAATTATGTTGGAGCTGGCACCAGAAGGCCCAAGTTTGAAGAACAGCTCTTCCCTGAAACTTATGCTTCCTGCCCTGTCTCCTTCCTCACCTTCAGTGGTGGAGTTTAGCTCTGCTTTGCATTGTTGCAGTTTAGCTTTAATCTCCTGGAGCTGCTGGGTGGAGGCAGAAGCCGCCAACCTTTGTGACCGCCGTAGGGACAGTTCTGACACTGATTGTTGATGGGCCACTGGCTGCTGTCTGGCTTCCTTCAAGAGAGCTTCTAGCTCTTCAATCTTCTCATCCCGCTCCTAAGAAGGAAGCAGAGAGCACAATTCCATTCAGAGTCAGACGAACCCTACAGGAATAGATGACTGAACAATGAACAAAAATTTCCGTGATACATGGGCCTCAAAATCCTGTTTGTTAGCACTTACACCATTTCCTGGCCAATCAAACTGTTAATCAATTAATCAAACATAGACTGACAAGTACAAAGCACTAAGGAGACTATAGAAAGGTGAATTACATATTCCTACCCCTATGAAAGTTTATATAATCTGTTTATCTCAGGCAAGTAGCGATGGGAATCTGAGCAGCTAGTTGGGACTGGTTTAGGGCAACTCACCTGAAGTTCTTCTTGGTAAAAACTTGTCAGTGATTCCTTGAGGATCGTTAGTTTCTCTTCATACATTTCCTCTAGTAGTTCCTTTTGGGTGTCCAAATGTTCACTGTCAGAGGAGAAGAGAGAAGTGAGTGAAGATTCTGAGGAGTGAGCTTGGAGAGCAGATCTTGAGGCACTACTCCATCCTAGTCTCTGCTTCCCACCATCAGGTCTAAGTGACAGAACAAGAGGGGTTACTCAGCTGGTACCTGCACCACTGTTCCCGCTGTTGCATCTGCTCCACCATCTCATTGCAAATTTCATCACGGAGCTGCATCTCCAGCCTCAACTTTTCCTGCCGTTCTTTCAAAAGCAGTGCTTTCATGGCTCCCACCACCTGTAGAAGCTCCTAGGAGGGAAACACAGGTCAGAGGTCACTAGAAGCCCATGCCCTAAAAAGGCACAGGCCCACCTGGAAGGTAGCATGGAAAATGTATCGCCATCAAGCTGCTACACCAAAGCTTTCTTGCATTCTCACCTCCTTGCCATATGTGGAGATGTCAACTTCATTTTCAATATCATCATCAAGGCATGGGTCTGTTTTAGCTCCAGTCTCTAAGCTGGGAGATGCCCGCAGACTGTGTTCCTTGATGAATGAATGTAGCGATGGGAATCCCAGTTGCACAGGTGGAGCATGCACAAGCTAGTGAGGCGGAAAAATCTTAACTGAATCCATTACTAGTCCCTAGTAGCTTCCTTAAGTACAGGTACCAGCCCAAAGTGAGCACAGTCATCACACCTATAGCTTCTCACCTGGCTAGTAATGGCTGAGAACTTGGCCACATGAAGGGTCTCATCATAGGTAGATGCACAGGGATTCACATTGACAATCATGCAGGAGCGGCCTCGGCCTGTGAAGAAGCCTTGGAACACTCGAGTCAACTTGCTGTCACGGAAGGGAACCAGGTTCTGCTTTGACCTGGCAGGGAATCAGAGAATAGA